AACATGCCTCCGGAAATTCTATGAACTTGGATAAATGTCAATAGTTATAGAAGGGCTTCAGGCCTTTTCTTCATAGGGTCGCTATGAGTCATGCTCAACTTAAAGGCAATCAACAACAATCACTATTACTCAATGCTTTTTATCACCCCATCTCAAGTCTCCATTTCCTATTCCTTCACCCCCCTGCCCCAATCTGTCTATTAATCTCTGCTGCCCTAGTGGTTTTCCTCCCTCCTCCCTCCTCTTTTGAACAGGTGTGTTTATCTCCTGTTCCTCTTGCTAATTGCAGTAGCCATATTGCCCTTCTGTCAATACTTCCCAGGTTCATCCTCTCTTGTCCTGATCGTTTACAGTGTCCGTTGTCTGTACATGTTATTTCTGCTTTCTGCGTACCTCCCCCATCCCCAGTTACTCTCTTGTTTTCACAGAAATGGTCACACTAAGTCTTCTTGTAAAGAACTTCATTCATCCTTTCATTTTAGGAATCACTCTAGATAAATATCTGTCCTTTCTGCAGCTTTTGTAGAACTTTGGTCAAAACAGGTATAATAAAAAGCTGCTACCCTCAATGAAGATTAATTCCGTCACTGGTGTAATGTGGGTAGGTGTGTCAGAGACAATAAGGTTGACACAGGATAGAGCAAGGTTTAGGGCTCTTGTACATAGTGCCACTGTGAGTTGAAAACGACTCAACACGTAACAACAACAAGTCTAGCTCTCTCTTAACTTACGCGGAAGCTGAATCCTGGGAGACTTTCTCAAGGTCATATTCTTGTCACAGACCCCCACCAAAGGATGAGTAATAATAGACTTCAGTATTTGTATTCATAATTCATTCTGCTAAGATTAATAGCAGACCAGTTACAAGAAGTTAGGATTACACAGTGTCCCAAATGTTTGATTTGCTGTATAACTCAATGATTTCCAATCCCTTGGTTTCAGAGGTTTACTGGAAAGTCTCCCAGAGACTCAGACCCTTCAGGACAATGACTCATGTATGTATGCAGACTGGTTTTGCAGAAACTAGTGAATGTTGTTAGACTATCGGTTGCAGGGCAGCTGGAAAGCAGGCATCCCCATAAGAAAGCTAATGTTGAGGTCCCATGAGCTTGTGAGATATTATTGTGATATTATGCTTAATATCCCACTCTAATCCTCTCTCCTTAAACAATAAATACTTGAGCACAGAATGAAGGTAATCATTGGCTAAGAAAGATATTTTAAGCCTTTGACACTACAGACCACCCCCTGGCTTTTCTAGCCATCAACCCTCACACTTGAAGAATCAACTTTCCCCTTAAAAGCATAAGAACTGTATTCATGAAAGCATGCAAGTCAGTAACTCTGTGCCTCAGTCTCCCCCATTTTAGATAGCCAATGTTCCTATCAAAATAGTACTCTGAAGAAACAAGCATGTTCCTTTCTCTGAAGAGTCTTCTGTTCCACCCAGAATGTTTAGCATCTGCATCTACAAGCAAAGACTGTTTAAGAGCAAGCCGTTAAGCTGCAGCAACCAATACTAGCTCACAGCACGAAACATCTTCTCTTCATCTGCTTGGGTTCTGGTCAGCTCGTCTCCGGTCATTAGTGGCTAGGTCCAAATGGGCATCAGCTGCAAGCTCAGGAGTCCATACTTCCTGTGTTTCAGACTGACTGGTTTCTTCACTCAGTTTTACTCCCTGCTTCTCAAGTAGGTAACCCTTTTGCACTTATTCGTACATCTGTGGTGCTAGGGCAACAGTGCTGATAGAACATACCCAAACTCAACCTGTCTTTTCACTGCTGCATGCCTCCAAATGTTAATCTCTTCAATCAAAAGCCAACGTGAATCTACAAATCCATCCAAATGCAAATCTCCTCAGAGTACTGGGTGGGTGTAATCTTCCCCCAGGCTAAGTCCTATGCTCTCTAGTTCTACTGCTTCCAACAAGCCTTTCATCAGGCTTTTAGTATATTTAGTGCTGAGTGGATATACCTTTTAATATATCTATTCAACACTAGCTGAAGGTGGGCTTGCATTCTTCCCCTAAATACAGTAGATCGCTTCACTTGTAATATCTACTATTCATTTTTATAATATATCGTAACATTACAACATAGAAAAGACATCAGTATTCATCAAGTACATCCAAATAAGCTCACAAAATTTAACACATTTTATATTAAACTGTTAAGTGTGTCTTGGCTTTGTGTTTCTCATCTCTGATGTTTAGTTGGAGAAAGTTGTTCCCTTGCTCTGAATCTCTCTCAAGATATTAACATAATGTTAGATTTCCCTCAATGCATGACCCATTTATTCATTCCTTTACCTTCAGCTATTATTTCTCCTTCCTCCCATTTGTTATTTATTTTTTTACCCAGTCTTTTCCACCTTGGGAAGGTCCATTTGGTAGTCCAAATCACAGGTAGCAAGACCATTTTGGCAAGTGCTTCCCCTTTAGGCCCTTCTCATTCATGTTGGATAGGGTTACTAATGTGCAACACCAGTAGACCACTAGTCAGGACAGTAATATTCTTCATTAACCTTACTTTTGCAGCATAAAGTGAAGGTTCAGTCTGCCCTGTCACACCTTTGGGAATGTCTACATACAAGGGTATTGTTAGAGCTGTTTGCACAGGAATCACTTCTGTTTCTGGCACCTGTAGTAACATTAATCTCTCGATAAGTGTTCCTTATCCCATCCAGAGACCAAAGGTTTCTCATTCTCTTGTTTACCCCTCCAAAGTCACGTTATAGGGAGTCCTTTGCAAACTTTGAACGATAGACCTTTGACACCACCGTATTGCAGCAGTCTCCTACTAGTTACTTAATCTAAAATACAAGTTTTTAATCTTATTCCTTTAATCTTTAAAATGACCGTTGAATCACACTTAAATTCCTTTCCACCACAGTTCTGATGGTCTGTTGTTAGCCCCACCCCTTGACCACAAGCTGATTGGTTCAAACTCTAGTCTTTGGGATTCCTTGCAAAGCCCAATCCCAGGGCCAAGGATCTTTCCATTTCTCCTTCTAGATTTTGAGTCTGCTTTTGTCCAATTACCGCAGTAAGTGTTCTATCAATGCTTTGAATTTAAGAATGTTCTTAAAAATATCAGTCTTTGTATATCTAATCTTTGGGTTCAATGAGTAGCTTATAATTCTAGATTTGCCCTTGTCCAAGATTTTAAATAACCTCACCATACTTTCTTTTATTCATTTTAGGATCTTTCTTTGTTTAATTTAAATTTAAATCTGATTTTTTTTTAAATTTATTTATTCTTTTTTGGCCTGGAAGTGCTATCCCAAAATATTTTCTTTTTAACAAAACTGGGGTGGATGGGTGGGTGGATGGGTGGCTGGGGAGTAACCAAGATAGCACATATACTGATGTATCTTTACAAAGTGAATGGAGAAGCTCATTAGGTACACATGATTTGTTTCAAGATATAGACACTGCCAGGCAAATGAAGCACTTATTTCCACACATTCTCCACCCTCCCTCCCTAAACATGTACGCCACCACCTAGAGCTCAGCTAAAAGGGTAAACCTCAACTAAGAAGACTTCAGAGGTGATGTGACACAATGACATCTATACAGGCTCTGGAATACCATCTCCAAATACCAGCTGCTTTTGTTTAGAGTCATAACTTATCTAAAACCATCCACATAACCTTTCCTCAAAATTTTGGGTTTTGAGGGGGAAAAACTTAATTATCCAATAACTAATTATTATAGGCAACCACTTTCCCCCCACCTGACTATGACAATGACTTAGTCATTGTCAGTTAGACAATGACTAAGGAGGATAGAAGGAGGATTGATGCCTTTGAGCTGTGGTGCTGGAGAAGAGTATTGAGAATACCATGGACTGCTAGGAAAACAAACAGATTCGTCCTGGAAAGGGTTAAACCAGGTGGCTCCTTGGAGGCAAGGTTTCTGAGGCTCCATCTAACATACTTTGGACATGTTGTAAGGAGGGTCCGGTCCTTGGAGAGGGACATCATGCTTGGTAGGGTGGAGGGACAGTGCAGGAGAGGAAGGCCCTCTATGAGGTAGATTGATTCAGTGACTGGGGTAATCCGAATGGGTGTATTGGAGATGGTGCGATTGGCACAGGACAGAGCAGAGTTTAGGGCTGTTGTACATAGGGTCGCAAGCAACTCGATGGCACATAACAACAACAACATATACCTAAAACACACACATAGATAATTATAACATATTTTCAATTTTGAGATAATTACTTTGTTGTTGTTGTTAGGTGCCATCGAGTGGAGTATGACTTATAATGACCCTATGAACAAAAGATCTGAACCCTATCCTATCCTGCACCATCCTCACACATTCTGACACACAAGAGCACATTCCATCAGTCACCATGTCAGTTCACCTGGTTGAGGGCCTTCCTCTCCTTCGCCAACCCACCACCCTTCCCAGCATCATGTCCATCTCCGAGGAATAGCCCTTTCTAACAACATGCCTCATTATACCTCCAAAAAATACTCCAGTTGTACCCTCGCTAAGACATACCTGTTTTGACTCTTGGACATCATGGGATGTTCAGTGCTCTTCTCCAACACCACACCACAGCTTAGAGACATTAATTCTTTTTCTGTAATCCATATTCACTGACCAGTTCTCAGATGCATAGCAAGTAATCAGAAAGACTATGGCCTGAATCAGATGGACCTGAGTCCTCAAACTGACATCATTATTCCTCAATAATTTGGAAAGGTCCCTAGCTGCAGAGTTTCCCACTGCAATGAGTCTCCTTATTGCCTGGCTGCTGGTACCAGGGGTGTTAATTGTGGATCCAAACAAGATGGAGCTGTTGACAGTTTCAATCTCCTCTCTCATCATCATGAAACCACCACTGTTAACATTTTAATGGCTGTGTGGGGTTCCCCAGTGCATGAGTTTTCCTTTGGCAGCGACATTGCTGGTTTATGTAGTATTCTGAATGCAGGTTGTTTTCTTGGATGACTTCGGAAGTAATCTGAAGCCGGCTCGTGATTTGGGAATGGTCACGATCCTTGTCCGAGACACCGACACAGCCCTGAGAGAACTGGAGAAAGTGACCGGCACACAGGTAATTTTAAATCCTAGCTGATCCCAATTTCCACCAGCTCCTCTGTGCACATCATAGATAAGGCAGATGCCCATGAGTCTATGTGAACTGGACAGCATCTAATGACAGCGAGTTCATTGCCCTGGTTCTCAGGGTGCCTCTGTCTGAGAGCCGCCATCTCTCAAACACTCATTAGCTCAGTGTCCTGGGACATTAAGGCAATTTCTTTCTCTTTACTTACCTCAGAGAGACACAGACGTTCTGAGAGCAAGAACTTTCACTCTTAGCGGGAAACCAAGACAAAGATGGTGACATTTCAAAGTCATCCCAAATGTATTTTTCAGCCAATCTTAGTGCAACAGATCCTAACCTCTTTGCATGTATTAGCTCACTTTTTCCTTTTAGGGTTGGAATGGTTACTATCTCCTTAGTGCTGTTGGGTAGGTGATCCCATGTGACAGAGTAGAGCTGCCCCATAGGGTTGTTGTGTTTGTTTGTTTTGGTTGCGGTCTTTATGAAAGCATTTCACCATGTCTTTCTCTTGGGGAGTTGCTGGGTGGATTTGTATGGTACACCTTTCATTTAGTGTTGTTTACTGTTGAGCTTAAACCTATCCACAGCTGACCCTCCAATAGCTTCTCAGAGGCAGTAGTTCTTTTTCTCACCAAACAACTGGTGGATTCAAACCTTGTGCCTTCAAGACTGTAGGACAGTTTCTTACCACTAAGCTGCAAGAGCTCCCTATAGTTAAATGTCTGACTTCAGTTAGTAACCATTTAACCATAGCATCATCAGGACTCCTTCCAACCTTATTTTTAAAAATAACTATCAGTACTCACCTGGCAGGAGAGATACTGTGATCATGAAGGTGGTTTTCTCAGGGCGAGGCTTATCCAATGCCTGCAAATGTGCTGACCCCTGTGACTGATTTCCCCAAATGTGTGAAACTCGACTGTGTAATTTGTTGTAGTGGCAGATTGTGTTCACACACTTCCCTGAAAAAAGAAGCACACACACACACACACACACACACACACACACACAACTATTGAACATTTTGGGGGGGGGGGTGCGGAAATTAGCTGTTGAAAACCAAATGGAGCTTGATTCTACTCTGATACATTTGAGGTCATAAGTCAGAATTGACTCAACAGCAACGAGTGTATATCAGAGGGCCCGGGAATAGATCCTACCTGATCTGTCCAGTGTTATTCTGTTTTGGTAACTCCTTCAGGGCAGCTTAAAAGCCTATTCTACCAGCGCTAGACACCTCATTTTTGTGTGTTTATCTAAGACCAGTGTGACCTCGCCCTGCCTGTGTCAGCATGTGGGGAAGGAAGGAGGAAGAGGGAGACAATCAGATATGCCATCAGGCTAACATATGCCCGGGATGTCCCAGGTGTTCTCAAAGGCAGTGACTTGTTTTGCATCTTAGCTAAATAAATGTTGAGGTTTAACAATCGTAAAACATTGTGCCCACGCCTGTCCTGTGAAAATGTGGAAGCTTTATGCAGAAGAGAGGAAAGCGCAGTGGACTCAGCTGTCACTGATCCATGGGCTTATCTGGTCTTTGACACATGTCACATCTGAGCCACAGATTGCTTATTTGCAGAATCAAGGATTGGTCTTCATATTTGTTCTCTAAAGTAAGGAAAGAAAACCATGTCCCACCTCTATTCTCCTCAGGATCAAAAAGATAAAAGGAAATCACCCCCTTTTCACCAGGAAAGGGTGTGCTGCTTGTTCCACAGGGGACTGTGGGACTCAGTCTTTAGACATATTTGTAAATTATAGGGACACGTGAGAGCAGAATGTCACCACCCTCCCTTAGCCCTGGGAGCTGTGGGACATTCACTAGTGGGGCACCTAGGAAACTAGTGGCACCTCTGAGGAAGGACCCCAAGGTCGACCAAAAGAGTCATTGTCACCCACCCCCACTGCAAAGGCCCTCATGCCAGACCCTGGGTCCTCCCCTGAACTCTTTGATTCCCCCTAACACCTGGGCACATTCTCCCAGGTTTAAAAAGGAGGCATATTTCATAAAGTACTTCCTCTATTGTAAAAGCTAGAAAACTAGGGAACTGAAGAGAGCCATTTCTTTCCTAGGTCACACCTTCCAAACAAAAGGCAAGAAATTAACAGTAGGATTCACTGACATGTCAGCAGTGGATTTTGGTTGTAACACCGTATTCTCGTATGTTTTGTTTGACAGCTTGTCCTTGCTTAGTTTTGCTTTAGAGGCACTGGAGGGGATTAGTTAAAAAGCCATCCTTCACTCCTTGAGCAGATGTTTGCCTGCCTACTTAGATACTGTATCAAGAGGAGTTGTCTAAACCCTCCATGTCTCCATGATGTGTAACCAGGACCTGCAGGTGGAAGACACAGGGAGTTCGATTTTGACTGAAAGGGGAATTCTTTCAACAGAGCCAAGTCCTAGTGAAGTGGCTAGCTTGTGAGCTGTCCATTCTTCATGGTGTCTGATATGAAGCTGGGTAGCAATCTAAGGAATCCTTGCAGAAAAGATTGTATTAGTTAAAGTATAGCCTCTCAGTGGTCTCAAACAAGTGTTATTTATTCTTTGCTTAGGTCAAGTGATGATCTCGAAGCTTTGTGTCATGTGGTCATGAAGGTCTCCAGGCGATGGAGGACATGCTATCTTCCAGGTTATACAGGTTTCCAGGGTCATACCAGATGCCCAGTTAGGGGATCAGGAAAGGACAATGTATAGAAGCATGTGAGAGGCTTTAAGGGGCCAGACTTTTCTGCCTGAGTTTCATTGGTTAGAATTCAGTCACGTGGCTCTGGCAAACTGAAAGGCTGTCTGGGAAATGTAGTCTAGCTACGCACCTGAGAGCAAAGGGAGATAGTTTGCTGATCCAGGAGTCCTAAAGATGCTCTCAGAGATTTCTTCTGAGGCCAGCATTCTCAAATTCTTGCTATGAGAACTCTTCATAGACTGAAGCTATAGCCACTTCTCTCATTGAACTTTTTTGTACCTTCAGCTTCTCAGCACTGCAAACCCCCTGCCAACCCCATGCAGGCCAAGTGACGTGAGCCACGGATATGTGCCAATAAAGGTGAGTGAGCACTCTAGTTCAACCAGCTGAGGACCCACTAACCAACCTGCCCATCATACCCAGCACACCTCTCTCAGCAGCAGAAACGCGTGTTAAATACCAACATCCCTATTTTAAAATGAATAGCATTGTACAAGCAAGTACCAATCTTCTGAAATTGGAAGACAACATGAGCCTGACCTTAGATTTTGTAAAGCATCATGATTGATGTGGTCAAGCCCACACAGGCAAGATGGGATCTGACTGGTTTGCTGTCTCTTTGGGGCAAATACTTTTTCACTCAGTAGGTATTTACTGAGCTCTTGGTTTGTATTAGACAGAAGTCAGATACTGTTGTTATTGTTGTGATGTGCTGTCAAGTGGGAACCAACTCATAGCTGACCCTCCAACAAGTTTTCAGAGGTTGTAAATCACACAGGAGATGACTGCCCATCTTTCTCTCATGAAGCAGCTGGTGGATTTGAACAGTGTGCCTTTGGATTGGCAGCACAACTCCTTACCACTTACCAGGGGGCTCTGGTAAAGTACTAGGGAAATAGTAATGAACAAGGCTGACTGTTCCTTAAAGATACCACAGTGAAGATCAAGAGAAGTAAAAGATAATGAAAATGCAGAGTGGGCAGAGGCAATGCAACTCTCAATAAAATAATAATAAACTGACACCTTATAACACCTCACTAGTAGGAAACTACTTTCTGTCTTAAAGGCCTGGTATAAGTTTGAAGGTAACACTTCATACTATCTTGAGCAGTAGGGACTATCTTTTGTAACTAATTCATACAGAAGTGAAAGATTAACTTTTCAGAATAAGTTCTGACTCAATGGTACACCACCACAACTACCTTTCACAGGGAGCTCTGGTGGCCTAGTGGTAAAGAATTCTGCTGTCAACTCAAAGGCACAAAGTTCAAACCCACCAGCTGCTCTGTGGAAGAAAGATGGACAGTCTCCTCCCATGCAATGTATATCCTTTTAAAACCCTCTGAAGAGTCAGCTATGAGTCATTCTGACTCAATGGTACATAACAACAGCAACAACAATAACATCAACCTTTCACAACATGCACTTTTCCTATCATTTTAAAAGGGAAGATGTTTTCTTCTTTGCCTAGTAGAAGTAATTAGCAATGTTCCTTATCAATGCTGAGGCCTTCTGATGTTGTTTGCCTGCCTACCTTGCAATCTACAGCTGGGAATTATTAATTTTGACCATGTAGAGGCTACCAAGCTATCTTGTGACCTTGAGAAGGCTGGATCAGTTGGCCCTGGACAAAATCAGCAGGCCCAAATGTTTAGGAAAAAACAATACACTGTAAAAACTTCTCATACTCCATGTTTCCTAAAATGCCTTTTAAGGAGGTGGGTGGCGGGGGGGAGAAAAATCAAAGGCAGTCTCAACACTTAGAAATTACTGTTTGTCTGGCACATAATAATGACATAATCTGCTTAGCAGAAAGTGGCGATTAATCTCTCAGGAAGGTCAAGGAACTGCATTGCCAACTGCAGACGTTTGAACACCAGGCTCGCGTCCTGAGGTTGCCCAGTGCGCAGGGGACAGCCGGATCCTGGGGACAGCCAGGTCATGGCTGACCGCTATGCCAGAAGATGCTTTAGTTTCACATTAATTTGTAATCCCATTGGCAAGTTGATGGGGAGGACTTGATTGTGTCGTTGAGCAAAAGAATTGATTGCAAGTTGGTGGAAAAGACAAATTGAGCTGTAGTCAGAACTGGCCTGTCACTAAAGTGTTTAGAAGAAGGGGGGAAGTGATTTTTTTTTTTTTAATAAAAGGAGAAAAAAATCTGGCTTTAGATTTCAAGTAAATTCAAATATTTTAAAGGGGAAAAAAGCATTCACAGATTTCATACCGATATCTATGATCAGAGCTAAGATGCAAGTGATTTCTTCAGTCTTTGTCCTCTGTCAGATCCTGTTGTTTTTCTTTGACATGAGTCCACCTGAGAGGGTGCTCTCAGAAGCCCTCCTGGGGCCCCACAGAGCCAACCTCTGACCTCTGACCTCCTCGCCTGCAGCTTTTACTTAACCCTATAGTTTCTGGACGTTCGTGCAGTATTGAAAAGACAGGAGAACAGAAAACAAACCTGGTCAGAACCTGATGCGAAAACTAAAAAATAAAAAAACAAACCACAAGAAATGTACCTCTTTCTTCAGAATTAAAACTAAAATCTTAAATAAAAAAAACTTGACGATGAAAAAAAAAAACTTCTCATACTCCACTGTTTTGTTCCTCCTCTGTAATATTTTCTATTTTACATCTTGACCCCCTTATAATAACTCCCAAGTCTCCAAGAATGGGAGGCAGATCTGAGAATCTCATACCCACTGTCTACTAAATGTTGTTGTTCTTAATGTACCAACGAGTTAGACTAACATACATGCATATAAATAAAATTTCTGTTTTTTCCATGTCAACCCTTGTCTCTAAGATTGGTTTTTCTGGTGGTAGGACTAGAAATATCTCAAACTTGAAAATAATTCATTAAGACGTTAAACAATCACATTAACATGAGCACAAAATCAGCCCCCAGTTAAAAATCCTGAAAACAGATGCACCCATAGCATATGGTAATGGTATTATGGCGTCTTTCCAGAGAGGAAGACAAAGTTTTTCCTCCTTTTGTGTTTTCCCAGCATCATAATCTGAACAGGCTTCTTATTTTTGGAAGAAAGCCACCTGTTTTTATTGTACTGTCTTGGCCAATTGTTTCCTGACAGAAATCTTTCTCTAACACTGGGAGCTTTAGCTTAGAAAGCTGGGCCACATGCGATCCAGCAACTAAGAAGGCCTGTTATTATCTGCGGAAGAGAGCATGTGCCTGGCCCACCAGCCTGGGGCTGACGGTCAGGGTCCACTCACCTCTCTCTTCCACAGCCCGGGCTCCGCCTGCACTTCGTGGAACTGGGCACCGGGCCTGTGGTGTGCCTCTGCCACGGCTTTCCAGAGAGCTGGTTCTCGTGGAGGTACCAGGTAAGAAGAGGGGGGAAGGTGAAACTCAGTCAGGAGGAGTCTGGGTGGTACAAGCCCACCTGTAGTGCCTGTTAGAAATGTTAGAACTGCAAACCTTAGTGCAGCGTCAATGCCTGCAAACCATCCTGATCACTCCAGATCTCCAGGGCAGTCTTCTCCAAAGCAGTCCGTGCAACCTGCTTGGAAATCTTTTTCATAATATACGTATCTGCACCATCTGTGCCAGGAAAAACACCCTCTCACATTTGGTCTGGCTTAACAGTGCACAGACCTCACTACCATTCACGCTGCCCTGTACAAATGAGCTTATTCCTGCTTCATAACAAGGATCCAGGTCGTCCATGTGATATGTTGAGTTGAACCCAAAAGAGGACACAGGGCAGCAAAGGCCGTGTGTCAGCAAAGAACTGATGAGGCCTCGCTGATCTGAGCCTGAACTCTTTTCTAGATCCCAGCGCTGGCGCAGGCAGGCTACCGGGTAATTGCTCTGGACATGAAAGGATATGGAGACTCCTCTTCACCTCACGGTGGGTTGGCTTTCTTTCCTTCTCAGTCGTGAGTTCTGTCTGACTTCTCCCACTTTCGGGTCAAAGCAACCTCCAGACAGATCCTGTCTTCACTTTGTCTTCTTTCTACACAAGTATCCAGTGTCCAAGCAGGATTGGCGCCAAAATGCCCTTCATCTCTTGCACAGTGAATAGTGCATCTCCTCAACGGCGCCACCTGCTGGACACTGACAGGAATCACAGAGGTCCCTGAGTGGCACAGGTGGCTGTCACACTGTCCCAAAGCTGACCGCACCTTTGCAGAGGCAGTTAATCCCAAGGGAGGAGCTTGCCCATTTTCCTCCTGCCAATTAGCTGGTGAATTAGAACAAGACTTTGGGATTACAGTGCAGCTTCTTATCTCTAGGCCACCAGAACTCCCTGGTGGCATAAATTAACATGTTGGGCTGTTAACCAAAAGGTCAACAGTTCAAACCTATCAATTGCTCTCTTGAGGAATGATGGGAAGCTTCTCCCCTAAAGATTTGCAGGCTTGGAAACCTGGTGGAGGATCACCCTGAGCTGTAATTGACTCGTCACCTTGGGGCTGGATTTGGTCTACTAACGTAAAGATTAGTGATTGGAACCCACCCAACAGCACTGAACAAAAAGGCTGACAGTCCGATTCCAAAAAAATAAAAAAAAAAAAAAAAAAAACCCAAAGAACTGGTTAAATCTGTATCACTGATCTGGAGTTGCCTTGAATTGAAATTGATTCAATGGCTTTGGCTTTGGTTTTTGGGTTAGGATCCCAGGGAATTCTAACAATGTGCTTCAGAGAGTTTCTGAACCTACATCTTGAGCCACTTGTGGATTTAGAAGAGTTTTTTTGAGGGGTACAGGTGGAAGCAGTGGGAAGAGTCCATTGTTTGTATCATTTTCAGAGTTCTGAGCCAAAAGTGTTAAGAGCCATGACTGTGGAAGCAGAAACATGCCACAGCCAAGCATGCAGCTGAACCCGTGGTCCCTGGGGGGTGTTAGTGATTCAGGGAGTAGCTGCCTGCCCTCCTTTTTCTGAGATACTTTCTCCAACTTCACATCAATATGTAAGCTGACATGGGCTGGGCCCCACAGGTGTTCTGTGACTGTACTCTAAATGTGACGATGCAGCGGCTGCTTCCTGCTTTCAGAGTAAGGCAGAGGCCCTTCCCCAAAAGGAAAACCTTCAGTGCAAACCTTAGAAAGTCATTTATGAGCTTAATATGTTTGTTTTTATTTTTCTAATGAAACTTTTTTTTTGTCATATGAATGAAATACATTTTCTTTTTAATTACAGAAATAGAAGAATACTCATGGGAAGTGTTGACTAAGGTAAAAAGTATCTTCCAGTAAATATAACACCTTCTCAGTATTGATATTTTCATTGACATAAAACAGAAGCTTCAGTGTCCATTTAATCCACAAGAGCCCAACATTTCATGGCACTTGAATATATATTATTACTGAAAGCTGAGTTTAAAACGCTAGCCAGTGCTTAGGAGGTATTTGCTACATGTCAGGTATTGTTTTAAGCATTTTACAGATGAGGAAATTAAGCCCTAGGGGGGTAAAGTAGTTCCCAAGGTCAACAGCATCACTGGTAGACTCAGCTCTAACTCGGTAGCCTAGAAAAGAAATATCTTGTCTTTACTTGGCATTCTGGTGCCGCAGTCGACAGGGCATGCGCTGCTAGCCCCAGCCTGGTACTTCTCTGGCAATTGGAATCACCAGTGACCCTGTGGGCAAGATGGGAAGTTCCTCCCTCTTCCTTCTGTAGTGCATGGACAACAAACAACAACAACATACCCAGTGAGTGTGAGATGAAGCTTCCCCAGCCTTGCCTCCAGGGGACACTCTGGCTGCCCTTTCCCCAGCACTTCAATGTTTGTTCTTTTGGTAGTCTAATGCATGTTGGAGACACAATTAATCCATTATACTATGCATGGAGTTGCTTTCATACCAGCAATGGAGAAGAAGCTACAGAGATGAGGGCTCAGCAAACAAGTCTGTCAGATTCTCTGTCAAGTCTGAGAAGCTAGTATGAGAGTTCCAAAACTGAAAGAAGGAAAAAAGTGGATAGTGTGATAAAGACTGGCGCTGCAAGTAATTTTAGACAACATTGATTGGATGTTCATAAAAGGAGAATATAATAGGATTTCAGAATTTATTTTGTTGTAAATAATTACTTCTATTTAAAAAGGCATTTGGTCACCAGTATGGGGCTGGAATTCCAGGTAGGGAGTATTCTGAAGCAGCCTGACTCTACAGAGGTTTGATTTCTGGTTCTAGTGAGACTCTCGGTGCAATGTTTACTAGCCATTGACTGTGAGTTGATTGTATTCAACTTCCTATTTAAAAAGGTATTTGGGCCCTTGGGCCTGCAGACCTCAGGCCTGGTTTTAATTGTTTTTGGTCAAACATTATTCTAAGTGGTGTAGCACTGTCTGTCCATTTGCTGTACCGAGGTAACTCGTGGTTGCTGTGATGTAAAATAGTGTGACACTGATGTGTCAAATGTGATGATGATTACCCTTGGTGGACAGTGTTTGGTGGAGCTCCCCAATTAAAACAAGCTTGGAAGCAGGAGTCGCATCTACTTCCGAAATAGCTTGCCTCTGGAAACTCTATAAACTTGGAGAAACGGATGTTATACAGGTATTCAGGTCTTTCATTCATAGGGTCGCTATGAGTCATCTACGACTCGACAGCACTTAACAACAACATACTGATGGTGGACTCAAGTCTCTGTATTCTTTGTTATTAGAACATAATTATCCATCCCAACATCCCACAGACACAGAACCACAAGCACTCTGATCTTGGATGGTCAGCCAATGTTTAGGTCCTCATTGAGAACCTTGAGTGTGCCTCCCCTGGGATTTCTGGAAAAACCTTCAGCCTAATTTCTCACTGTTGTTGTGTACCATCAAGTTGGAATTGACCCATAGTTGACCCTCTGCTGGGTTTGCAGAAGCAGTTAATCACATAGGAGGAGATTTTCCCATCCTTCTCCCTCAAACAATTGGTAGATTTGAACCTTGTGCCTTTGGGATTGCAGCACGACATCTTACCACTAGGCCACCAGAGCTCCCTTTTACTAGTAGATTAGAAAAGCCCCTGATATGATCTAATAGTTTTTCTCTTTGGAGAAAGATGTAAATTTCAAAACTAATGAAGTATCAAAATTAAGATAATATAGCTATTGCAATTAGCATTTAGGAACAAGATATATAGATAACTGTTTAAAAGGGAAAGGGGGAAAGGAGTGTGGACAAAGGAAGAAGAAATCACTAAGAAACCAGTCTTAGAGACTGCAGGACAGGACAAGATTCAGATCTGTACATAGGGTCGCTCTGATAAATTGTTGTGGACTCAACGGCACCTCACAACAACGACTCCACCAGAGGGTTAACTAGCAATCTGCTTCTATAAAGACACTAGAAAACTTTGTGAGGCAGTTCTGCTCTGTCACATGGTGTTGCTATGAGTGGAAATTTACCAGCATTTGGGAAATAAATGAGAAGCTTGTCCATTGATCTTCCCGACAGAGTCTATCACCACAGCCCTCAGTTTTGCATGCAGGATTGGGAATGAAGGACAATGTTAGAAATCCAAAAATCCCTTAACAGTTCCTGCTATAGCAGCCACCTGGTTGTGGAGAAAATCCTGTATCTGCCCAATTACCGAAAAAGAGAGTGTCCTTATTAGTCAGGCTTCCATTGCAAGAAGACATATTTCCAGCTGAAGACTGAAACTAGGACAAATAGTATCTGAATGCTAATGTTAGCAGGGCGGACGATCCTTTGACTTGCCATTGTCTTCTCTTCTCCTGTTATTGCTTCATATAGTAGAACCAAAACCCGTCCCATCTCAGAGGCGGGAAATCATCCCTCATTGTGGAAAGCACCTATAACAGCAGGAGCTAAAATAATTTCACATTTTTTCCCAGGTCTTCAGATAGCAATTTCAGCAACCCCTGAAGAAGGAATTTATTAGAAAATAAAAATTAAAATTACTTCTCCATTAATAGAAAGAAGGTTAGGGACAAATGGCTGGGAGTATGTAAAGTGGTTGGTCTACGTAGTAAAGAAGACAGGGTTTGAATATTTTCTTTTGAATTTTTTTTTTAAACCTTTGTTTCACATTTTATTCCCAGGCTTCTTCAGTTTATTTAGTGGCAAAGAATGAATTATATTTAAGCAGAAACTGAAAAGAACTGCAATGTCCAAAAGGCTTGTTGGGCTTAAAAATATGAGAGATCTAGATTTTATCAGATCCATAAACAAAACAATTTTAAAAAGCAGTCCTAATATAAAATAGCAGCTCAAAGTAACTTTGTCACGTTTTATCTTCTTCAAAAGTTGGCTCAAATCAGTTGGCCTCATTATTTGAATCCTCATCAAAATTCTCTACAAGATCTGGAACTTCATCATCATCATCTTCTCCAGGAGCAAGTGGTGCTTTTCCATCCACAGATTGTTTGGGCAGGGCTTCAGCCAGTCTTCTTAAACTACCCAGGCTATCTGCGCCAAGCTGGTTTAAGAAGCTGGGTAACATTTCTGTCAATTGCTTTGTCTCAGCATGGCCAGTAATGGTGAAAGTGTTCGCTGCCAGAGATGCCTGAACTTGAGGATTATTAAAGTAGATCACCGTTCCTTGATTTGTAAACATATTCACATCTTCAATACCAGAGATATTGTTTACCCCTAATTTCTTTAAGGAGAACTGAGGTTGTTTGTCATCTGTTGTAGCTGTTCTATGAACCACCTTCTTCTTTCTGCGTGCAGTTCCTTTTCCACCAATGCACACTTGTGCTTGCAGTTTGGCAAGTTTCTCCTGATTCATGATCATTTCTTTCATCTTGTCAGAGAGGAAATGGGGCCGCGTGGGGGACTAGGGCTGGCACTCGGGGTCTTTTGGCAGACCAGCTGAGATAGGCTGCACACGAGGGGACGCAAGATGGCAGCTAGAGCTCTTTTGAATTTTTAAAATCAGATCAATTTGGAGTCTGTCTCAGTTCTGCACTGCTAGCTGTGTGACATAATTTAAATTCTTCATCTGCAGGATGGGCATACCACTTCTTACCCATATCCACTAATGAGGGTGAGATGAAATACTGAAGAGTCTAGAACATACCATGGACTGCTAAGAAAACAAATAGGTCTGTCTTGGAGAGGGTGAAACCATGTTTCTCCTTGGAGACTAGGATTTTGAAGCTCTGTCTCACGTACTTTAGGCACATGGCCAGGAGAGACCAGTTCTTGGAGAAGGACATCATGCTAGGAAGGGTGGAGGAATAGTGCAGGAGAGGAAGACCCCAGATGAGATAGATTGATTCAATTACTAGGGCAAAGGAAGTTGGTGTGTTGGAGTCAGTGAGACTGGCTCAAGACAGGGCAGGTTTCAGAGCTTCTATACATAGGGTCACTGTGAGTCTCAGGTGAGTGACTTGATGGCACAAAACAACAACCAGGTGAATTGTACAGTGCCTGGACCAGAGCTAGGGATAAATAAGTGCCATTTCATATGTTTGTTATAAAACTTTATTTTCACAAATTCAAGCCTCTCACATTGACTCAGAAAGAAGAAATTATTTTAACCAGCTTGAGCAATGGGGCTGGAAAAGGGAAGGCCTCATGTGGAGGCAGTTTCTTCCCTGAAGGACCCAACTGGCATATCTCATCTCAGATTTCTTCTCTCCACATTCCTTGACCAACGCCCAGCTGGATTCCCCTGTGTGCTCATTTTGTCCCAGGTCTGACTCTCCTTGACTTTTTCTCATTTGCGCCTACACCTCTCCAACACTGTGCTTACTGGCCAGCCTGGGCAAATGTCCATCCCTGAGGATGTCTTTTCTGTGGAGAAACCCAAGAGTGGAGAAGGGAAAGCTGCAGTCCTCTGGATCACTTCTTTTTCTCTTACCCCCCACCAGTTCTGTGTTGTTGCTGTTACGTGGCATCGATTCAGAGCTGACCTGTAGCTGACCCTCCAGGGGGTTCTCAGAGGCTGTAAACCATGGGAGAAGATACGATGCCTCATGGCAATCCCATGTGTGTCAGAGTAAAAGTGTGAAGACCCGATAGGGTTTCCAGTGGTTGTTTTTGTTGCAAGTAGATCACCAGGGCTTTCTTCTGAGCTTTCCTAACATAGACTTGAGTCTACAAATTTTCAGTTGCAGCTGAGAATATGAAAAAATATCTGCACCATCAGAGAACTCTGGAGAAGAAGCTACGATTACTGGCCTCACTCATTCCCTCACTGTGGTTGAGTTGAACAGATCCCGAGTTGGCCCTCCAGCAGGTTTTCTGAGGCTGTGCTGTGTCACAGAGAGGAGCTTGCTCGGCTTTCTCCTGTAGAGCTCTCGGTGGATTTGAACTGGCAGAGAAGTGTGGCCTTTGGGTTAGCAGCGCACTTTCCTGCAGCCTATGCCACCAAAGTTCTCTGATTTCTGGCTTTAAAGGAACTTAAAATCTTATGATGGATGTGACACACTTAGAGCTGCATACTCTCAACTCTCTCTCTCATACTACTATATCTTAAATAATTCCCTGTGCATGTTGGGCGTCAGCATGGAAAGCAAAGGGTGATGATTCAATGACGAGCGAACATGATTGGCAGCAAGGCTAGTGGCGGATAATAGATGCATCTGAGAGGCGGGCTTGCATTCTAATTTTTATTTTTCTGTCTTTTAAGGAGATGATGATCTTCCTGGATAAACTGGTAAGTAATTCTCAATTCTGAGCTGATCTCTTTGGAGAATTCTGTTTGGGCATGGGTAATTAAGGAAAGAATTTCAACCTTCTTAGAAGGCATCCATAGCGAGACACCGATTCACATTCTGTTCCTTCTTCATTTTCCCCAGGGTATCTCACAAGCAGTGTTCATCGGCCACGACTGGGGAGGTGCGCTGGTGTGGTACTTGGCTCTCTTCTACCCTGAGAGAGTGAGGTAATTAGGCCACAGGCAGCAAATCAGTTTGGATAAGAGAAGACAGGGAACAGAAGCCCAGAATCTCATTAGAATTGTTCCCAGTGCTCATAACCCCAGAAAGCTCCCTCAGCAAGAACAGCTTATCTAGAGAGGCAGCACATTAGCATTTTAGTGCCCACTGACCCGTTAACAAGGAGAGTTTAATGGGCTATTGTCTTAGGAAGCAACGCCTACCCCATGGTAATGGGATAAATCCTTAGGAGCATGAATAGTTCATGGGAACTCAGAATAATGGTTGGTTCTAACAGACAGTGGGTAAGGGAGCAAGAGGGGTCTAGTTTATAGCAGTGAGCACCAAGAAATACTTCTACTTTCAGCCAAACTATCAACTCAAGCTCACTGTCCTCAGGTCAGTTCTGGTAAACAGTGACCACCCACTGGGTTCCCAGACTGTAAATTCTAGTGAGAATAGACTGCCTGTCTTTCTTCCATGGAACCAGTGGTGAAATCAGACCACTAGAGACATGTGGTCTGTGGGTTAGCAGTGAAATGTGCTGTGGACTATACCTAGACAAACGTTGTTAGGCTAAGTATCAGACAAAACTATAAGGGGAGACAGTCACGTCTTAGAATAAGGTCAAGAGACTAGCACTTATCCAAGGATGAAGCTTAGAAGACAGCGAAAGAACAGAAAGAAGAGTTAATGAAAATGAGGATCAAAGGGACAAAATAGGAAGAGTACAGTTATATTGTGGGTATTGTCATTCATGCTATAAAGCAAAAATGTGTATGGATGGTTGAATGGCAACCAGTTTGCCTTGTGCACTTCAACTCGAATCACAATAAAAGTGAGTTAATATTGAAAAAGAAGGAAAGACTTCTATGTTGCACTGAAAATCTGGTCTTTAATTATGCTCTGAAATGACTGTGTGGCAAATCATTTCACCTCTTAGGCTTTGCTTAAAAATACCACAAACATCTCCTAGTTGCTAGTCAGTTAACTCTGACCTGTGATCTCCCCATATATATCAGGGCGAAGCTGTATTCCATAGAGCTTTCAGGACTCGAACCTTTCAGAAGCACGTTGCTAGGTCTGTCTTTCTTCCACTAGGCCTTTGGGTGGATCTGATCCACTAACCTTTAATTTAGAAGCCAAACATTTTAACTATTTGTACCACCATCACTTCTAGGCTTTGGTCATCACAGTCAATGTGCTGAACAGATAGATGTGAGGTTAGAGGGTGTTTCCACTTCACTCCCATATCAGTCATAATCTTGAGTTACGTTGACATTTCAGGCACCAGGTGGAGTTTTCATCTGACAGGCTTTGAACCCAAATTTGGACAGGCTTAGTGGCCCTCCCTCATCTGGGACAGCAAGATAAAGTTAAAGCCTGTCAGAATTCCCATGAGCAAATTTTAAAACATGAAATAACTATCAACCTTAACAGCCAATCTGTTTTTTTCTAACTAGGCAAGTTTGGTTTTGCTTTTGTTTTTTAGATTTTAGAATGTTTATAAGGATGAAAAGAGAAGGCTGTCATTCTGCCCAACTCTAACACAAATTGATGGAATTATATAAAAGAAACAAATAGTAGTTCCTTCTGCCTTTGCCATCAGCTGGTGAAGGTCTTCCTGCACTGTTGGCCAGGAAGGAAGAAGCCTAGACGAGAGCAGGGATAACATGTTTGGGTCTAGAAAAAGGAGATAGGCAAGAAAGCTCTTGATAACATGAATCTTCACCTTTCTAGCCTGGTAACAGTGAGTAAGGGGGGAAAGACTACCTTTATTTGGAACACTTATTTTAATCTTTGGTTTTCATTTTTTGTTGTTGGTGGTTAATATAGTAATTTAAGGGGCTACTGATATCTCAGACAATAATAATACTCTTTCAAATTTTTTTTCTGTACTAATTGCTGAGAGATTGTATTAGTTTCCAAGGGCTGTTACAACAAAGTGCCATGGTTTAAAACAAAAGAAATTGATTGTCTCTCAGTTCTGGAGGCTGCAAGTCTAACTTTAAGATGTCAATAGGGCAGTGCTCTCCCTGAAGGCACCAGGGGAGGGACCAGTCCCTTGACTCAGCTTTGGTGGCCCCAGGTGTTCGCTGGTTTGATGACTGTCCATACGAATCTCTGCTTCTACAATTGACTCTTCCCAGTGTGTCCCTGTGTCTGCACTGCTTCTTACTGCATAAAGACATGAGTCATATTGCACTAAGGCCTGCCCAGCATCACTTCCTGTTAAGTAATTATATCTGCAAAGTGCTGTTTCTAAATACTGTCACATTGTTGTAATAAATAAATACATTACTCAATGATGATTAATGATAGGACAATATCTATGAATGGCTGAATGAAAACCCAATATGATTTGTAACTTTCACTCAAAAATGATCTCACTATCAGATCAGGGACTTATATCTAGAATTTATCAAATACTTGAGCACCACAACAAAATAAAGGTAAATAATCCAATTGAAAAATGG